GTTCTGTGAATATAAGAAATTCTCAGAAGAGAATTCTGTGACTCATCACTCTGTTTATAAAGTACTAGAGAGTGAAAGAGAATATCAGATTAAAGAAATTATTGACTCAGAGAAGTGAGATCATGAGCTCTGATTCAAGGTTCAGTGATAAGAATATTCTGATAAGATGAATAAGTTCACTTGAGAATTATCTGAGCAGATAAAACATCTGCAGAAGCTAAGATATGACTTTTATATTATAAATTCTGATAAGTCAGAATAATGTGATCTTTGCTAAGAATCTAGTTATGATAAAGATATTAATACTATCATTTATAAGTTCTAGTCTATAAGATGATGAGTTTCTACTGAGATGAACAGCCTACAGTGTATGCAAAGAGAAGAAGAAATTATACTCTTATTAAAGTTAAAAAATAAGAAAATAAAAACAGGGCTGTGAACACAATTTAGAGATCAATAAAGAAAAAATAAAGAAAATTCATACTCACATTCTTAATATCTGTGACACTCAATCTCTTTATAACTATCAATTTCTCTCTTCAAAGAAGCAGAGAGTATTATATCTGCAGTATAAATAATTATTACATTTAATATAAAAGCTGTCAGAAATGCACAGACTTCAGAGAAGTCAGACATCAGAATATATACAGTTGTGACAGAGTCTTAAGAGCTGATCATCTGTATATATGATCAGATATCTCTTATGAAACTGTGTCTGCTTTCTCAGTTATACTGAAGTATTCAGCCTGAAAATAATTGAGATATGAAGAGAAAGCTTATCTGCTCAGGTCAACTTCTGTCATGAATTCATGACATTTACATTGTCTTGATTACCTGGATTTTGCAGGTATCTGAGAACTCATCTCTTATTGACAATGAAATTGCAGAAATGCGCTGTGGCATGAGAATCATTGATAGAGAACCTAGACATATTTGTATATACCTGGTCAGAGATTGTGCAGGCAGAGAGAGAGTGATTATAGGCTCACAGAGCTGTAGAAGACACTGACAAAACCAGAAGCTTTATAAGAACTGTCAGCTAGAATCTGTAAGGAATTACTTATAAGAAGACTTACAGCAAAGAGAGAAACTATGCTGCTTAGAGCCAGAGACTGGCCTGGAAGAGGCATGAGATTGATCACTGACCTGAAGATTGAGTGCAGTGATGAGACTGAAAGAGATGAAAATACTGTTGTGAATGATAATATCCCTGCTTCATCAGCTGATAAAAAGTGATCAGAGAAGTTATAGAGACACTTATAAGAAGCTCAGTGATAATCAGACATTATTTATAAGATATTGAAATTGAAAAAATTTTTTATTCTTGAGAAGTTCTTGAATCAATACACAGATATTGTTAGAAACACTCTCTCTCTGTTATCTGAGTGAAAACACTTCATGAATGAATGAGAATACTCACAGTTTGTAAGAATGAAAGCTGTTACAGAAAAAGAAAAAAGAAGATGAGATTTCACAGACAGATCTGAGATATTTATACTACTCTAGAGAGATTTGCTTACACTATGAATAATTCTGTGAAACAGTCAGATTACTCTAGTAAATAAAGAGTGATTGTGAATTGCAGATCTGAATCTTTCTATATAACTATAAAGAGTGATTGCAGATCACAGATATCTTAATTCTACAATTCTACAGAGTTGATGAAAGAATGAAAAATTCCTCACAATTCTACAGTATCAAAGAATAATGATTTATAACAATAAGTGAAAGATTAACTTATGAATACTTCTCTTTGATAAGAGTGATCTCACAGAGAGTGATTCATCTGTAAGATGAATCTGTATGATGATCACACAAGAATCTCATGAAAATGATTGAGAGTCAACTGAAACTCTTCTATATGAAAGATATGAGATGAATCTGTATAATAGTCAGAGAAGAATCTGTAGATTACAAAGAATCTCACAGAATAAGAAACTGAGTGACAGACTCTTTTCTCTTCATAGTAACAAGGGATTTTTCCTCACTGAGGTTTTTTATAGATGTGAAGGGTTTTTAGTGAGTATCACTGCAGTGCTGAGCTAATTCTATGAAGTCACTCAGTGAAAGGCTTTACAGATGAAGTCTTAGAGAGAGAGAAATATATAAGAAATCTCACTTCTCATAGATTCTTTATCTCTATTTCTATCTCTCACATAATCAATAGAGTTAGCAGCCCTTGACTACACACAACTATATAGACTGAAATTCGCAAATACTATTCATAACTCAGCTTGAATGCTATTATACATTTGATTTCTACATTTTATCTTTCTACTGTGAATACATCTAGTAGTTAACAGTACATATCACGCCAAGCTGCAAACACCCGAATAATCGCCTGCGAGCACTTATTCTTACAGAAAAGGCCTGTATGAACTATGCTCTGAGAGTTATAAAGATGAGCTCAAATCATATAATCAGAGAAAGAGTCTCTTCTTCATTTCCATCAATTAACTCTGGAAATGAACTGGATTGAAATAGATTTCTTGATTGAAATGAAAATAATTCTTCAAAGAAAATGCCTTCTCAACTGTACAGACTATGCTCTCTGATTAAAAATCAATTTTCTTCTTTAAATGTTGAAAAAGTTGATTATGAGAAGTTATCTCTCTGAAGAGAAAAGCTTGAATCTCTTATAGACTTACAAATAAGTGAACTATTAAAAGAGAAAGAATATGAACAGCATTTGAAGAGAATTTCTACAATCAATATAAAAGACTCTATTCTGATTTATTCAGATGACTCAAAAAATGAGAATTTGAATAGATTAGATGCAGACATTGCTTATACTGAAGATAATATCAATTTCATCTCAGATTTCTGAAATCTAGACTGTGAATCTGAAGTCTTTAATGCTGAACTATTTGTGATAGTGAAAGCTTTCAAACTCATTGAAATAAAATCTTATAAAAGAGGAAATAGTTTGAAAGAGACATGAATATTCTCTGATAGTCAAGCTGCTTTAAAAAGACTTAGAAATAGTCTGATTCATAATGATCAAATGAATCTTGAACTGATCTTAAACTCTGTTTTGAAAATTCAAAAGAGAAGAATATCAAAGCTGATAATTCATCTGCACTGAGTTCCTGCTCATATGAATATTCATGGCAATGAATTGGCTGATTCAGCTGCAAAAAAGGGTGCAGAATTAAGCAGATCTATTCAAAAAATTGTGTCCTGATCTTTTATAAAGAGAAAAATAAAAGAATCTTGTTTAGACAAGTGAAATAAAAGCTGACAGAAACAAAAGAAGAGTATACATTATTCAAGATTTGAAACAAAACTCAAGTGAAAATCTTGTTCAATTAAATGTAAAAAGAAAATATTCTCATCTATAATATAGCTGAAACTAGAACATGGCTATTTCAAATCTTATATACAAAGATTTGATAATAGATTTAACTTAATAGAATGCTCATTCTGCAATGTAAATGAGAATCCTGAGTATATTGTAATGCACTGTGCATTATATAATAGTCTCAGAGCCAGATTGAAAGAGAAGTATAATCTAAATTAATTAAATATGAGATTCTTATTCTCAACTGAGACAGGAATTAAATACTTAATAGACTTTCTATCAGAAACTCAAGCAGCTATAAGAAAATAACTAAATTCAGAATTATCTGAATATGAAGAGGAGGAAATCAATCAGATATAGTCTGTTAAAACAGCTATATACTATCTTTTAATAATTTATTTTGTTACAGTCTCTCTTTACTTTATCTTTTTCTTTCAATTCCTTTCTATCTATCTATTTAATGTGTCTATCTTTAAGACTGTGTTCTCTTTTCCTTTGTCATGATATTGTCAAATGATTTCAAAGTATCAGAAGATGCTAAAACACTGCAATTTGTAAACAGTTTTTGTATTCTGAGCTGAAATTTTCTGATTTTACATATCTGAAATTGATGAATGTGTAACGTGACGGAACCGAAGCGGTGGCTAGTCAGCGGCATCATGTAGAGGTAGTTATTTGAAAAGCTGTATGAATAAGCTTGACTATCTTACTTGAATAGTGAGCTTGTAAACTACAGAGTTATTACAAGAATATCACAGATGTGATACTTAGTATACTAAGAAGATTGTATAAGACACATAGTAACTCTCATATATATTTCAGTAGAAGAAAAACAAATCACTGACTTCTTTAATAAGGAGTCAGCATCTAGCTATTCTATATAGACAATGAGTGAATACTCTTCTCTCATTTCATGAGTGAGAATAGCTGAAGTGATATCTTAACAGCATCTTATTATCAAGAAAGAGTGATCTGCTGATCTCATATAGAAGTGAGGTTCTTATATTCATCAATTGAATCTTTCTATGATATATTCAAATAATGTTATAGAATGGTTGAAAACTAGTTCAGACAGAATAAAATTATCTACATGAAATTGATGAGCTGTGTGAAACTGCAACAGAGTCTTAACACAGTTAAAAGTGTAACAATGTTCTTCTCTTTAAGAGTATAGTTCTGATACTCTTAAGATTACTGAATTAGAAATTATCTTTGTTATATAGCAACAGTTATCAACTGATTGACAGTGTATATACTTCACATGATATAAAGAAATAGATGAGTTTTTCTGCTAACTGTGTAGATCTTTCTTTTTCTATCTTCATTCAAATCAAATGTGTGATAAGTGAGTTTCTTATATATCAATTTGAAATGTGAAAAATGTAGTTAATAAGTAACTTATAGATCTCTCAACATATTCTGTTCTATATATAAAATTCTCTACAAAAGTGATGTGTTTTTAGGGACAAAGCTAACAGTAGTGACAGGATTTTTCAAAAAGATTCTTCTCTCTGTAAAACATTTTTCTTCTCTTCTTCTCAATTGCAACAGTGAGTGCATGAGAGTATCATTCTTGAAGAATAATAAAGAGCTTATTATAATGTTTTCTAGTGAATAACAAACATCTTCATGATGCAGCTGCGGCCTCCATGACTGTCAAGAAAGCCAGGTTGAAGGTGAAGACAGCAGTATTGACAGATCACAGAAGCATCACTCTCATTGTCACATCTTCTTCTCCTTCTTCTCCTGCTTCTCTTGCAGCTGCAGTGGTAGTCACTGTGCCTTGCAGTGAGGTGTCATCCCTTCTGCCAGTCAGTTCATTCATGTCCAGTCCTTTCTCTGCCTCTCTCACTGTCATTGTGACACTGCCTCCCTCTTCAGTCAGCACAGTGATGTATGACCCTGTGTGATCATTCAGAGAGGAACCTGGAAAGAGCTTGATTTCAGAGACAGTGACTCTGAGAAGCTCAATTCATAGTTCCCCTCTCACAGCACACCTGAGCCCTGCTCAGAATGCTGCTGAGTTGAGTTTGCAGAGTCTCACAGTTCCTTTGTCTTCTCTCTGTGAGAAGACTTCAGTACAGCCTCTAGTCAGTATCACTACTTGTCTGTGCTGTGTCAAGCAGCTGAAGAAGAGAGAGATTTTATATATCTGTCTCTTCTCTCACTCTCATTGTTTCTGTTGCATCTGTAACAACAACTTCTGTCTCTCTGTAAGTATTACCTATTCTACAAGAAGGTGTCATGTCAGCTCTGACAAGAAGCTCAGATACTCAAGCAGTACAGAGCAAGAGTCTCAGAGCTCTAAGTATTAACAGATTTTATCAAGACTGAGAAGATCTCTCTTGCTCATCTGTAAAAGAAGATGAAAGCATGAGTCTCTGAGATGAAAAAACATCTCAGAATAACTGATCTCAAGAAGAGGTCAGCTGATGTCACTGTTAAAAGCACTGCAGAGATCAGTCACTGATTGAAGAGAATCTCACTTCAATTAAAGCAGATGACTGAGATACTTTATAAATTAATAAGTTAATACTTCAAGTATCTCTTATACTCTTCTACAGCATGCTTCTCTGCAGTGCTGCAGTGCTAACTTCTCAGCAGATAAAGATGCTGATACTGAAGACTTCAACAGTGAAGAATGAGTTTGATAAGAATGTAGTTATTAATAAGTAGGCTCTGAAGTTCTTCTCTTTTTACTTTTTCAGCAGGCTGCAGTCTTATTTAGAATAGCAGTGATCTGCAGATTGATAATATTAATCTTTATTAGTTTTAAATATTTCTTTTCTTTAATCACTTCAGGAATTTTACACTTGTGTAGTCTTATTAAACTTCTAAAAATCCTTTGAGAGAAAATAGAAGAAGAGTGCTATGAAGTTAACAAGATATCAGCTCATTACTGTGAGATTATCTCTAAAAAATTCTTTAAGAAAAATGAGAAGTCTTAAACAGTATTTCTTATTTAATATCTCTGATGTGTAATAGAGTGATCTCTACTAGCTGTCTCATAGCTTGCAATCTCTTTCTCAGTATTTTTCAAATACTTAAGTGATTCTTATAAATTCTCTGACAATGAATAATCTTTTCATTTAACAAGATATTGAAGCTTACTATAATATATTCACTTGTTCAATATTTTCTTCATAAGATATTCAGTATCACTTTCAATCTTAATATCATCTGACTGAGGCAGCTCCGCCCTGAAGTATTGCTTATAGAGCTCTAAATAGAAAATGTGAAAAATAGAATGAATTGATTTCAATTCTGTAAGTAATTTCAACTCATATATCTGCTTATTCATCACTCTTATTACTGAGAAAGATTCTAGTCATTACTCACTGAGCTTCTTACACAGTCTCATTATCTTGATATTCTTTGCTGAAAGTAGTACTTGATTCTCTATCAAGAACTTCATTGAAAGATGTTTTTAATTATAGTATTTTATCTATCACTTCTGAGTATGATAAATACTTTTCACTGTCTTCTTATGAATTTTATTCAAAAGTTTTAATCTCACTTTTACTTCTGATACTGAGAAATACTCTGTTCTCTGTATCTGTTTAATATTCTGACTGTCTATTCTCTTCTTTGAAACATTGTCTGCAATGTCACTGAGTAATAAAGAATTATATTTATAATAAGCATAGAAAGAAGATACCTTTAAAATTACATTCTTTGCATTATTATATATGAATTCAGTAATCAGAAGATGTTTGAGCTAATCATTCTGATAATATGAATAGAACACTCAAAGATGCTGTTCTAGTATCTGATTCTGATATTCAGTCTGATCATCTGTCTGCAGATGAAATACAGTACTGAGAAGACATCTTATTATAAAATAATAATAAAAAGCTGATCAGTATTTGCTGATGAAGAGAAATTCTCAATCTATTATTAATAATTTCAGAGCACTGTGATTATAAATGATGATATCTAAAAATAGGTCAGTCAATTCAGAGACTTTAATCTTTTTATAAGTAGAGATATATCTGATTATCTTTATAAAGCAGTTAATAATAATCAAAATTGAATTATATTCTTTGACTCTTGTCAACTTCAGCAGATTAACTATGAAATTCATTAATAGATTCTGTTATAAGCTCTTTGAAATAGACAGTAATATTAACTCACTGTATTACTTATACTGCAGAATCTTTATCTTTTAACAGATATTATAAGTCTTAACATACTCTTTAACATCTGTTCAGAGCTTGTCTCAAATATATTTACATTTTAGAAGCTTCTCAGTCTTCTCTAACCTGAAGTGCTCTGTATAAAGATTATTATAATGAATTCTCAATAACTTCTAACACACTGCTCTGCTATGAGAGATGAAGACTGAATTATTCAGCAGTAGAAGTTCACATTCTTCTAGTTATCAGTGACTTGATTTCTTAGCAGTATCATCTCACTCAGAGTCTGTCTCTTTCAAGTTCAAATCAGATTCTTTCTTCTTCAACTTCTGAATTCAAGCTGCAGTAGAGATATTCCTCTTCTGTAACTTATCAATGAATTTCAAAAGTAGTCAGACTGAAAGATTATAGACTGTTTCATTCTTTGTTAATTCAATGATTGTAAGATATAATATAAGAAGCTTATAATCTTCAGTGTCAGTTCTCTGTGAGAATCCAGGTTTTCTTCCACCTTCTATACTGAGTCACACAGCTGCCTTACCAGCGCTGTTTTCAAGCTTCAGAGAATCTTAACTCTCTGCAGCCAGCTTCTTCTGCAGTGATGATAGAGATTCTTTTATAGAATTCTTCTCTGCATCAACAATATTATAATCAGACTGTTTAGATAATATATCAGTGAGATTAAGCTGATCTGAATGATATCAGATATAGAAATTATACTCTGAAAGCAGCTCTGCTCATCTGACTTAATGTTCTGTCAAGCTCTTTGTTATCAAGAAGTAACACAGATTTGTATAATTAGTGAGAACTTGCACTGAGTACTTACTACTCTGAAGATAATGTCATCAGATCTTAAAGAATTTAATAATTGTTAATATCTTCTAATCATGAGTATCATATCTTCTCTGTGTGAGTGATAACTTCTTGAAGAAGAAGGTCACTGATCTTCATTCACAGTATCTTATAGACTCTGTGAAAAAGTCTTCTCTCACAGATAATTCATTATCTGTTTTCTCAGAGATGATTATTCTCTGATTCTTTCAATATTGAAAGATCTTCAGTGTTAACTGTGAAAAGATTTCATAGATCTTATTCTCAGATATATCAGTCTCACACTGACTAAGTAAGTCAGAGTTAAAGTGATTCAGCATTATAACATCTGTGAAAGCTTGTTTCAATTTCATAAACATCTGCATAGTATCTTGAGTGAGAATAAACAGTCTTATTTTTCTGTCTTTCACACTTCTCTTTAACAGATCTGTAAGAGAGACAGTAATCTGTGAATATGTATAGATGAATTATCTGTAGAAATTCACAAATTCTAGAAATATCTACATCTCACAGTATATCTGCAGCACTGGCCAGTTCTCAATGACAGAGACTCAGCTTCTATTCATTGAAATACTATTCATCTTAATAATATAATCTAAGAAATCAATCTTCTGCATGTAAAATGAGTATTTTTCAGTGTTTATATAGAGTTAATGCTGTCTTAAGCAACTTAACACTTCTCAAACATGAGTATCATATTCTTTCTTCATTTTTAAGAAGATTAGAATGTCATTCAAGTATACTATATAGAAGACATCAACAAGGCCTCACAGTGTCTTATTTATATAGATCTAAAAGATGGCTGAAGCATTACAAAGATCAAAAGATAAAACAAGATATTTAAAATTACTGTACTTGATATGAAAAGTCATTTTTCAAATATTGTCTTTATTAACTCTGATTCTATGATAGATATTCTGTATATTAATTTTTGAGAACATCTTTGCTTCAGATAATTAATCAATCATCTCATTAATTAACAGTAATGAATAGTAATTCTTAACTGTCATCTTATTAAGGTCTCTGTAGTCTATACATAGATGTAGTCTATCATTCTTCTTAAATATAAAGAGTATAGATATCTCTGCTGAACTCTTTAATAAATATATTCAGTTCTTTAATTATACTTCTTCAAGATATTTGTGCAGAACATTCAATTCCTTTATAGATAAGTTATAAAGAGATCTGTAACAGTGCTGTTGCACTGTCTTCAAGACAAATCTTATATTATATCTTGATATCAGGAAACTTCACTGCTTTTCTTTCTGAAAAGACATTCTTAAAATCTGTAAAGAGATATTATATATATTCATCTTTAATAACAGATACTGCTGCTAATCTTGCAGTGAGAGTGATGACTTCTTCATCTATCTTCAAGTCTCAGTCATCTGCTATATAGTATATTAACTCAATCTTTTTCTCAAGATTCTTCTGATAAAACTCTTCAGGATTTCTCTATCACTGTCTCTTCATCAGTGAGGCAGTATCATTATACCTGAGTGACTCAGTCAATGAGAGAATTGTTTTCTCTCAATTACAGAAGATCTAGAATAACATTCTCATCTATGATGTTAACTGTATAGAGGAGCAGACTGCTCTTCTTAAAAATTCCTTCTGAGTCTGTAATCACACATCATGCTTGAATTATGTTAAAATGATGATATTTTATTTCATCAGTAAATTTCACATGGTCTGACAGGCCTATCTTCTTTCAACTCTTTATCAAAGAAAAGAAATAGAATATGAAGTTAATATTCACTTCAGAGTTGAGTAGATATCTCACTAGTATCTTCTTATTCAGAGTATGCATTGTGATCATAACATGAACTCAGAGATATGAGAATTATCAATTCTTTATTTCTTTCTCTTCTTTATCTTTCACAGATACATT